GGTTTGTACCTATGTTGTTTATTTATTATTTCTTGCCTATATCTTGTAATATGAGAAGCTACTTTGGCAGTAACAATACACAATGTACTAACCATTGTTACTCTCCTAAAATCTTGTTTTGAGATTTTGTACCATTGTTTTTATTTTTTTTTCTTTAAAATAAAATAACTGATGTAAAAAAAATAAATAAATAAAGGAAAAAATAAAATAAAAAAAAACCAGGCACCTTTGTTACCTGCTACCATTCTAATTTAATCATGTAAGTATTTCACAAATATGGTTTTCCACAACTGTGCAACTACTAATTCATCACATTCTACAAATTATTATATTGAACATTTTAGTAACACATTCTTGATTTCTATAGCACAAAGCAAGAGAGATAGAATTAGAGCTTCTCTAATCTAAATAGCTGAAATCTAAAATCTGAGACTTTTTGAGTGCTAGCATCATGCCACAAGGGCAAATATTGCTACTTGATCTCATGTGATTTATTACACAAAAGTAATATTGTATAAGATTACTTTCAAGATATTTGCATAAAGTATATAGAAAACACAGCCAAATCTTTTTTTTTTTTTTTTTGAGATAGGGCCTCATTATATAGTTCAGACTGGCCTTGAATTCACTGTGTTGCCTAAGATTGCCTTGAAATCACCATGATCCTCTAGTCTCAGCCTCCTAAGTGCTGGGATTACAGGGGTATGCCACGATGATTGACCTAAAACATAAGTAAATCTTGTGTTTTCACTTTGGTTCCATCCCATATGTGTATACATAGACATAGATGGGGCAGGACTAGGGAGATTATCAGAGAGCATGGTAAGAAGGGCTAATTGATGCACACAGCAAATATCTTAGAACTCAGATGAAGATGGGACCTATTGTGCTACTGTTTGGATCTGATCTATCCCCCAAAGGCCAGTGTGTTAATGTTGATCTCATGGTGTTACTGAAAAGTGGTGAAACTTTTATGAAGTGTGGCCAAATGGGAGATCTTTGGTTACTGAGGGTGTGCTCTCAAATTAGGTGGAAAATCCAGACCATACCACTTCTCTCTTTCTTCAGCTTTGGCTGTAAGATGAGTGCTTTTCTGTTTTTTTTTTTTTTTTTTTTTGCTACATTGGAGATTTACTCAAGGGCCTCAGGCATGCTAGGCAAGCACTCTTCCACTAAGTTATATGCCCAACCCTTTCAAAATTTTATTTTGAAACAGACTTTCACTAAATTGCCTGGGCTAGCCTTGAACTTTGAGTATCTGGGATTGCAGGCATGTGCTACTGTAGCTGGACAAGGCAAACAGTTTTGCTCTGCTATACACTCCTGCCAGAATGTACTGCCTTAACCAAAGCAACAGGGTTAACTGACCAGGAATGAAGTTCTCCAAGTCTGTGAGATGAAATACACATTTTCTCTTTAGAAGTTGACTATCTTAGGTATTTGTTATAGTGACAGCTGATTAAAACCAGGGGAACCAACTCATCAACTAAGGACTCAGGCAGTTTGTCTGGGAGGAGGTGTTATCATGAGGGAAAGGGGAAAATAGATCCTTGAAGATTCAAAGATTTGGGCCAAATATAGAGCGTGAGTCTGTGATTGCTCTGTATGAGATACAGGGTTCCTGCTATATAAACCAATGCCTTGAAAATTCATAATTTAATCATTTATGTTTGACAGTGTGTTCATTTTCTGTTGTTATAACAAAATACCTGAGGTTGAGTAATTTATGAAGTGGGGGAGTTTTAGGATGAAGGGTGTAGCTCAGTGGCAGAGCCAATCCACAGCACCAAAAATAAGAGGCTTAATTAGCTCATGTTTTTGGAGGCTGAAGATCTAAAGTTGGGTAGTTACAGATGTTCACACTTATGAGAGATGCTTTGGATGCTCACAACACAGCAGAGGGGAGAAAAGGGAAATTTCTCTGTGCACATGAGGCAGCCTGGTTGGGTTGGTTCACTTAATAACCATCTACTCTTATGAAAATTAATTCACTCCAAGAGACAAGCATTGACCCCTTCTTAAGACCCATAAGGACCCAACTAATTCCTGCTAGACTTCACCATTTAAAGGTTCTACTATTTCTTAACATTGTCACCTGGGGACCAACCTCTAGCACAGAAACCCTTTGGGGACAGACCACATTTGAACATAGCAGGCACCATGTTCATCCCTGTCAATGTTCCCTTCAGCTTGCTCCAACAGCTTTGTTTCCAGATCTCCAAACTCTTCCTTTCACTGTTGTTCTGGGTCATCTCCCTCAGCCAAATCCCTTGCATTGTGGTGTATGCTGTCTGCCTCTCAGCACACTTGACATACCATGGAAAGGATTGCTTATATGTGGACACTTCTTGTCACTGTGTCTGAATGTTCTCATAGACAAGGTTTAAAGAGGAAATCACCTCTTTGAAAGCATCTAATTCTTGCCCTCTTGACTCATTCCTAATTGCATGACTGCATGAATGTGTGTCTCATATAATGCCCTTCTCTGACATTCGGTGAACAAATATTAGCACTCCTCAACCTACAAGCGTGTGCCAATATCTTGGTGTTAGATTCAATCACTTCACTTCCTTCATTTATTACATGGTCATCTAGCTTTTTTAGTATCCTTCCTAGTCAGTCTCTTTTTGTCTATGTAAAGTGGAGGGCGAGGGAGTCTGGTGGGAGAAATAGTGCTAATCATTTATTGGCAAAGGCTAATCAATGTGAAGAAAGATGTGGTGTTAAAGATGGATCTACAGACTTTGCACTCTACTCTCTATCTGCAGGTGAGCTAGGATGGGGCCATGTGACTTTGAGATTAGCGAGAATTGCAATCTAGGTACACAAAGTTCTTCCCAGCTTATCAAGAGATACTGTCTGTATCAAAGAAAATCTAGTATTTCTGGATGGGTGAGTACCAAAGGGAAGAGGGTGTGATAGAACCAACACATAACTCTTGCGCAGAATTTAAAAAGCTGCCTTAACCAAGATCACTACGTTGATGTTTTCTCCCACTTTGCCCATTTCAGTCCTTCCAGAATAGGAGGTCAGACAGACAAGCTGTAAGCCAGTCTCCACAGATACCTTCAGAGGTAGGTGGGATAAGGGTCTTGAGGTTTGAGCCTATATTTGTGACTTGCTTGGATGGGGTCCCTGCTCAGATGGTGTCAACTATTTCTATGAGATGTGGATTATTGTTTCACATGTCAAAATAAGAAAATTGAGAAGTAATATGACCTGTCTGCGGTCCCAAAGGCAGAAAGAACATAGATAGAATGGAGGTATCAACATGTTTATTCCCACATCTAGCTTGTCTCTTCTTCAACAGTTTTAGAAAACACAGAATCTAGAATTCTAGGGAGAGAACTAGTTCACATTTTTTGGATGCCTTAAGGATCTATTTAATTCTACTTTATTACTTCACATGTAGAATACATAATGTTTACACTCCTTGTGGCAAGTTGGCACATGTATCCAACACACCCTAATTTCTATTTGTATCCTTATTTCTTCCCTCCCTTCTCTCTTCCTCCACTTCTTGATCACCTTCCCTTCTGCCAATGAGCTCTCTTCCTACATCTATCTTTTATTTTGTGCTTAGCTTTTCTCTGGGTTTCTCATATAGGGCAAACCATGTGATATCTAAATGTGTGTCTGATTCAATCATATAATGTGGCCTCAAGGTTCGTCCATTTTCACACAAATGACTCAAGTATGTCTTTCTGTATGGTAGAAGAGTGCCCCACAGTGTGTACACACCACATTTTCTTCATCCATTCATCTGTTGAAGGACATACAGGCTACTTCCAAGATTTAGCAATGATGAATTGTGTTACTATAAACATGATTACATATGCATCTGTAATACCATATGTATTTTTTTATATTTAGTACAGGATCTGCAGGGTCTATAGTGTCTGTCTACATAGATCTGACTCATAGTGATTCTCTTGTTTTCAGCCTCCCAAGCGCTGGGATTACAGGCATATGCCACCACTTCCAGTCTCAGTTGCCCTCTCAGTGTACCTCAGGGCTGGTTCCAGCATGGCACGCTGGGAAATTGAGCCTCAGCCACTGTGCTCTGCATAAGCAGGCACTTTAGTCCACTAAGGTATCTGGCCAGCCACCATATGATGTCTTTAACTCTTTTGGGAAGATACCTAGAAGAAAAATATCTTGGTCAAATGAAGTTTCTAGTTTTAGCCTTTTTTGTTTTTGGAATCTCCATGCTGATTTTCCTAGTGGCTGCTGTATATTTAATTGTCCTAAAATTTATCTCAAATGAGCAAAAGAATCTATTAAGAACTTTGTGATAAGCACCTGGTCTAGCATGAGAACTGTACTTGACATGATACTTCATTTCTCTTGAGTGATTTAGTGTAACTGAAGTGTGCAGAAAAGGAATTGGGTATCCCCAGGATCCTGAACACTTTGGTGGGGCAGAGATTGTGAGCAAAGTACTAGACTAAAGTGAGGCCTTATAAGTGAGTTGATTTCAAGCTCTCCAAAACTTGAGTCTATGGTAATATTTTTAAATATAAAGAAAGCCTCCCAGAAACAAGTGATTTGGGTTTGTTGTATCACTGTGTGAGTCTTCCTCCTCCTTCATGCAAAAAGACATTCCAGGAATCCACCTTGCATTTCATGCCCACCCTCACCCAGGTAGCTGTTTGTCATATTCTCACCTGTACTTGTAACCTGTATTGTCATGATTCAGTGCCTTCACAGGATCAGAGCACTTTTAGCAGCTTGGTGGTACCTGCCTATAATCCCACCACTCTGGGAGGCCAAGGAATGATGATCAGAAATTCAAGCCCAGTCTGGGAGGGTCAATCCCGTTTTTCAAAAAAAGGGTTGAGGGCCTGAGAATATAACTCAGTGTGAAAGCCTGTATTCAATGGTCAGTATGGGGGCTGAGAGTGGGGGACAAAAAAATGATACTTGGAGCTTCAGGCTCAAGTATCAGAAAAACCGTTATTTCTTGTAAAAAGAATGTTAAAAACTTTCAAGATTTCTGGAAGCCTGTCATACTTAAAGACAATTTTCCTTTGACTTAAAAAATCACCAATTAAGCTGTATCCTTTGAGTAAATATTGTCCAGTGGTAAGTGAAGTCTCATCTTGGCAATTCTACATCATCAAGTCATGCTCAGGCAAGACATCAGGGACAGTTCTGAATAGAGAAGGTTGGAGAGCAGATATTCCATCTGAGAGTGGAATCCCACCAAACACCTGAGTGTTTACAACTGAAGGTTTCTTTTCTCTTTTTCTTTCTCTCCCTAATCTGCCCTTCCTCTTGTCTTTCTTCAAACCTCTTACAACCAGTTTGCCTAAAAGTCAGTTCATTTACTGACTCATGCACCTAAAACTTTCAAATTTCTTTTTTCAAATTAATTTTATTAAAATGTTCAAATTTCACATGTGCCAAGAGGAGAACGAGTTTTCATAGTTCTCTTTGACAAATTCTTTACTTTTAAAACAATTTCTAGCATTACACCTGCTTTTCAGTAATCTTGGTGGGTCCATCTAGAGCAGCAGCATTCAACAGAGCTTTTGGAAATAAAGTGTTCTGTGTTTGAACTGTTCAGTATAATGTCCCTGCAGCTAGATGTGGATATTCAATGCCTGAAAATTAATTTTTAGAGTTTGATTTCATGAATTTAAATAGTTACAGCGGCTAACAGTTACTATATTATTATGGAGGAGTTGCTGCTACTTGGTTGAAACTTCTGGACAGATATACTTTCAGGGAGATAATCACTGCCTTGTTATTGTTTAATTCACAGTATCAGAGTTTAGCTCCTTCCTCAGGCTGTGTTTCCCTCCTTGCTATTTTGTCTCAGGAAGGAAACATAGTCAGTGCTTTCTAGAGGGGAGGAACTGGTGATCTGTATGCTTAGTTGACCTTAAATATGAAGTAGCCTGAATTTTTGGAATTAGCTGCCAGTGACTGATGTTAGCCCCTATCTAAAGACAAGTGTTTAATTGACTTCTTACACAGTTATACAGAAGGTTGGAAGACTGAAGAGCGTTAGGTTTTTGTTAACACTTAGATAAAATCGAATTTGTCTTTGTTACAAATGTTAATTTAATTTTTAAAGGAGCAACAAATAACTTATTTTCAATTAAAAAAGGAAGGAAACATAGCAGATAGAAGATGAAGGGGACAAATAAGTATAAGCAGGGGATTTTATTTATTTATTTATTGTGGAACTGGGGATTGAACTCAGGCCCTTGTGCTTGCCAGGCAAGTCCTTATTCTACTGAGCCATCTCCCTGGCCCCAAGCAGGGCATTTTTTTTTTTTTTGGCTGATCCAGGGATTGAACTCAGGTCCTTGTGCTTGCCAGGGAAGTGTTTATTCTACTGAGCCACTTCCCTGGCACCCACCCAAGCAGGGGATTTTTTTTTTTTTTGGCGGAACCGGGGATTGAACTCAGATCCTTGCGTTTGCCAGTCAAGCGCTTATCCTACTGAGCCATCTCCCCGGCCCCTAAAGCAGGGGATTTTGATGGAATTAATTTTCATCATCCCGAGCTTCAGGAAAACTAAGAGGTCTCCACAGATCTCTATGTGACTTTTCAATTACATCAGTCACTGCCAGCTAATTCCAAAACCCTTCACTACTTCTTATGTGCAACTTGGTGGCCAGAATTATGTGATAGATCCAGGTTTCACAGTTAAAAGTTGGTGGAGTTAGGCTTCTAGTTTAAGTGTCTTTGAGTCTTCTTTGACTCTTCATTTTTACTCCCCTATAAAATATGGAACAGCAAGCAGAAACTGCCTTTGCATTACATTAGTTAGAACAAAGAGGACAGGGCAAACAGGGATGTCAGATGGGCAGAATTGCCACCCAAATGCCTAATGAAGCAAGAGTTGCATCAATTATCCAAAGACTGAAAAAGACCAGGTTTTTTTGGCTAGGATATTTTCTCCATTAACTCATGCTAGCTATGAAAGGGATGATGTATGTGTCAACCTGTAGATGTAAGAAGATTTATTAGGATTTTGTTATTTTATAAAGAGAGAACAAAATAGTATTAAAACAGAAAAATTACAAGTGATGCATAATCAATTAATAAAGTAGTATGAATTTTACAGTATTTGTTGTAATGTACACTGTTGTCTTCCAACCAGTTATTCATATTGCCAGATATATGCATACAAAATGGTAAGAAGAAAGATAAAAAGGAAGAAATATATAAGAAAATAAGGGGAGGAAAAGGGGAATCATTTGAAAAAAGGAAAGAAAACAAATTAAGCATTATCTACTCCTTTCCATAGTCCAGCAGAAACCAGTTGTACAGTTGTCCAAACCATTCTATCAGGATATTTTTATAGCAAAAAGAAACTGGAAGAATTTAGGTCTTAGTGGTATGAGACATGATCATAATACTTACATTTGAATTTCTGGAATAGCTTATATGCTGTGATATTTTTCTCCCCCTTCAATGTACATTATTTAGTATGATTAGTCATTCCTTTGTTTCTTCAGGAAAACTAAGAGGTGTCCACAGATCTTTATGTGATGCTTCAACTGCAAAATACCATCTCATTATCAGCCAACTGATAAATTGTTTAGCAGTGTGGTCTCTCCTCTCTCCAAGAAACTACAGTGATAGGATGTGGTCAACATTGCTCGCTATTGTTTTCACTCTCGTTGTTGGTTTTTGATTCTATTCCTTCACCTAACCTGAAGCAAATTCCTCTCTTGAGGACACAAGACCAAAAGGAGCAACAGCAGGAGTGGGAAAGTTGTTACATAACAGATACTGTTATCAACTTTCACTATGCTTCTAGGTCTGGCTGTCTTGTGGAAGAGTTCAATGTACATTGCAGACATACAGTGTCACCTGGCCAACAGCAAGTTGGGTGTTTCTTGAACTACAGCCTTTTCTTTTTCTGCTACTGAAGGTTACATTACTCAGATGCCCACACTTTATAGTCTTCAGCTGTGACCCAAATACAATTCTACTTGAGTCTCCATAAACTTCTGGGGACACAGAGTCAGCTCTAATACTAGTATTCATAAAACCTTTCCTTACCTGGAGTTAGAAGTTGGCATCTTCACATTGCTGAATAAGACTTTTTACCACTAAAACCTACTTCAAAATCCTGAGTATAATTCTTCCACTGTGTCCCTGTGGCACTGAAAGCTTTATAAATCCCTTACCTGTTGTGGGCTTCCATCTTTTCTTTAGTTGTCCTAAGTAAATTATCTTATAACTGACTCTGAAATCAATATAGTGCCTTTTGATGTTCTTTAAAATTTCTGTTATGTGGAAAAAATTTCCTAGTCATTTTACTTTATATAGTTTAAAATAAAATATCAGGACACTTAATGTATTTTGTTTCATAAAAGTAGTGATTATAACATAATGGATGGTGCATTACTATACTTATCCACTTTCTCCATGTACTTTTTATGTAAGAATTACATGATCTGAAATTTTCTATTTATTAATCATATAGTGTAATGCATTTAAAAATAATTTCGCAAAGGAAGCATGTGGTGTGCAATGGGAAGAAGCAGGTGGATGTTAATGGCTAGCTTAGGAACTGATATATTACTGGGTACCAGAGAGTGAAATAGGGAAGCAGGAAAAAAATAATATAACATTCACAAGAATGTTCTCTGTTTTCTGCCCTCTTCACCTTCAATTTATTTTCTGTCTCTAGCAGTATCAAGAAAAGACCTGTCTTCTGTGAGAACTTAATCTGAAGCACGCAGAAAACAATGAAGTTCTGCATTTGCCTCATCATGTTCATCTGTGTCCTTCTTCCTGTGCTGGGAAACCTCAGGACAAAATATGGTGGTGGTAATGGTACAGAGAGAGGAAGGGCCAAAGTGGTCCATAATATCTCATTCTTAGATGTGTGTGTGTGTGTGTGTGTGTGTGTGTGTGAGAGAGAGAGAGAGAGAGAGAGAGAGAGAGAGAGAGAGAGAGAGAGAGAGCTCTGCACAATCCTTATGTCATCACTGATTTAGGGCCACACTTCCAGGATCAGCCTTTAGAGGATCAGAACTCTCCTTAGACAAAGACACCCCCAGAAAGATTAGGTGGAACACTCCCAATCTGGGGTTCCTTCAGGGTTCTTCTCCCAGCTCTGAGACAAATAGTGAGCCTATGGAAAGGGTTGAAGATAATATTGCCATAAATCCCATAGACCGACATGAAATAATATTTTCTAATGTTAGACAAGTGTGCATAGAGGAAACAGCACACTTCCCTTTGAGCCTAAAGGGAAGATTGTTTTCAAAATTGTTGTGCCATAGCTGGGTGAGTGCTTGACAAATCCCAGGAAGGTGGTATTTAACACATGCATTTTGTTTAGGGGAAGAACATTTTAGAGCATGAAGAATGGAGACCACAAATAAGGGCTCTTTAGTGGGTCAAGTGATAAATGTGGGGACCACAAAGGGACTGAACAGGAGAACTGTGAGACAGGGAAAGACATGGAGCTTAGCTATGAAGAGGGTGAGTACTTAGGTGATATTAGCAAAGACTAAATAGGGATCAAAGTAAGCTCTTAATCTTCCCTAGCCTGGCTTTTCTATTCTGTAAAGATGGCGTGGAAATTAGGTCTGCAGTATGCTACAGGCCCTGAGACATAAGGTTATATGAGAACACATTTGGTGGCACGGTATCTTACATGGTGATGATGTCCCCAATCCTATCTTTAGGACCTAGAGTCTCACAGTGTCACAGTGATATGCAGAAGGAAGGAACACATGTCATACAGGTGCAATCTCTTGCAAAGAGACATTGTTTTGAATCTGAGAAAGGAATTCTGGAGGAAGGTAGAGAAGTGCTTTATTTATGGCTTAAAGCCCAACTTCCAGGAGGGATTGTTCAGACTTTAAAAGAGTTTCTTCTCCAATTTGTGAGTAGATTGACCCCACCAGTTTCTACCATCTCAATTCCAGTTGAAGTACGAGAATTTGATGAGTGCTGGGTACAACCTCCATCAGAGTACTGCGCCAACAGGTGCAGTAAGCTACTAAATTGCATAAATCCTAATCATACATGCTGTTGGACCTACTGTGGAAACATTTGCCTGGACAATGAGTAAGTTGGTTGGCTCAGGGAGGTTAGTGCCTGGGCATGCTTAACTTCTCCTCACCCATCATTCAGACAATGTGGTCCAGAACAGAGGACCACAGTCACTTAAATTCCGGTCAAATAAATAGACCTTTAAGGCAATGGTATTCTATCTCTGAATCTAGGCTGCCACTCCCTGCAAACAAAACAGAGACATCAGTATGGGGTTTCTACTTTTCCCTACCTCACTCAGTTTCTTTGCTTCTATCGAAATATCACCCATCAGATTTCACACTACAAAAAAAAAAAAAAAAAAAAAAAAAAGATTTCACAGTACCCTTGGTTCAAAGATTCAGTTTCTGATCCCCCTTCTTTAGGCCCAGCTCAGAGAGACCCACTCTTCACTTGTGTACCAACCATCATATCTTGAGAAACGACCTAAAAATGAGAAACTCTCGATGCAACAGAAGGAATTTCTGGAGCCTAGGGTGCTACTGAGCTGGGAAATGGATTTTACCAGAGTTATTGACTTTTAACCACCCATTTTTTTCTCTTTTAGAGAGCCTTTTAAGACAATGATAATCCCCTAAATTCTATCTGGCCCACAAGGGCTGTGAGCAGAAGAATGAGGCTGTGTTATAGGAAGAGTGCTGCCTGGTTGCTTGGAATAGTCACTTGCTCCAGCTGAAAGCCTCTTTGCTGTCTCTTTGACCCCTTCATCCTGAGAAGACTCAAGATGTTTGCCAAATAAATGGATAAATCAATCTGAAGGCACTGTGGTTTTTGTTACACCTTCCATGCTTCCCTTTTTACTGTCCTCAGCAGTCCCAGGGGTTGTTCCCCCTTCAAAATGGACTCAGAATTGCCTGGACTTGGTCTTCACTGTAACACATCTCCTTGACTTTCCAATTCTGCCTTCCTTGCTTCACCAGGTTGCCAACTGCTATGACACAAATACAGACATTTATAAAAATTGAGTGAAGTTAATGAAATAAGAATCTATTTTCATTTGCAGTATGTGTCACCAAGGGTGGTTAATCATCCATTCCACAATTCAAAGACTAAGATCAGCATCTTTAGCTCTGTCATCTCTCAGGCCCTCCTGTGCTGGTTCCTCTACAACCAGCTAACAGATGGGAGAGAAAAGGTAGCATGGAGGCTCACAAACAGGGTTTTAAGATCTGTGTATACAAGTGGAATTCCTTTTTATTTGTATTCCATTGCCATCATACAGTCATATAAGCCCACCTACTGTCAAAGGAATCTGGGAATTGTAGTCTAGCTACATTCCCAAGAATATGAAAGGATGTTGAGTGAACAAATGATAGT